TTATGACTTCAGCTGTATAATAAAGGAAGTCTACATTGAGTGTGAGCAGCAGTTTTTACCTTTTAATTTTGTGTTAAATCTCCTGCAGCCCCCCTCCAAAATCCTGTCTGATGGAGGGCTCGGAATTCTTGAACGAGGACTCTAAAGTGAACCTGGTCCCGGGGTTGAATGGTAAAGGAGGACCTTGGAGCTTTGAAGAGCTGATCGATTTGGGTGTTCATGCTAAAACCAAACCCCTGATGGATGATGGGAGCCCTGAAGGGCCAAGAGTGGCCTTTGAAGAGAAAACTAGCTCTATTCATCCAGCCCAGCCTATTGAAGCCCTGTCCGGTGAGGCCTTCTCTCACTAAAGGCCTGTTCACACCAAGCACGATAACTATATAAATATTACGATAAATATATTTGTGTCCACACTGACAGACAATTCAAATCTATTTACATTTAATTTATGATTTAAAGAGCCCATATTATACATGAAATAGGGTCATATCTTGGTTATAAGGGTCTCCAACAACAGTTTAATATGCATGCAAGGTCAAAAAACACTTTCATGGTGTTATAATCTGCAAAGCAGCACGCGTCGCGTTTTTAACGTGACTTTGCACGCGATAAGAGAATATAGCCAGTTAACCTGATACAGTACACACGTTTACAAGTAACAAATCACAACTAAATACATTTGCAAGCTAGAGACAACGAGGCAACTTTAATCGCACGTACTTACACTTGAGAAATGGAGGAAGAAAAATCCATCCTGACGTCCAGCAGTAAGTTACTCTTTACTGATCCTTCCTTTAACAAACGCAGATGAAGTATTCTTTGTAGAATGTAGTTTCCAGAAGTTTCCAGAAGTTTCCAACTGCTTGGTCTATAATGCTGAGGTTTCATCTTTGGGTAGAGACTCAATATATCCATCTGCAGTGTGACTTCAATCGACCGGCATGTTAGTGTGTGTGCGTGTGTTTGTGGGTGTGTGTGTGTGTGTGTCTGGGTTTCTGCGTCAGAGGGCGGGGCCTCAGGTTTGAAATCTCCCGGGTTTGCGCGTGCACGTGAATAACTTGGTTTCGTTCGTACGTCATGGCGAAACACCTAATGAATCGGTATCAAGGCGACTCGTTTGAAGCACTATGAGTCGACTCTTTTATAGATAAATCAACAGTTTTAAACACTGTACACTAACAGATTTAAGCCTTAGCTGGATACTTCACTTCACTTAGAGCTGTGTTACACACTACATGGAGGGGAATTTTCAAAAACCCATAATATGGGCTCTTTAATTCGCATTAGCCCCTTGTAACCAGCAGATGTCCTCAGTGTGCTATTAGCGCATCTGACCAGTAAATCTCTATTTTAAAAATGGTTTACACTTGGTTTATACTTCTGCATGATCCACAACGCCTGCCTTTAGCATAGTTGTGCATTTATACTTTTGCATGCTTTTGTGTTCTGCAATAATACTTCCGAAACACTAGCTGACAGTGAGGTTTTAATGTTCCTCTGTCGGGTTTCTTCATGGGTGTTTTGTGTTTTCTGAACGCTACCTTAATGTACATATGACTCAAATTTGCTCATTTTGAGGTGGGAACCGGCAGAGTGCAACAGTTTTAATTATAAGGTAAACAAAACAAAACTTTCCATCTGGAGCTCATGGGACTCAACACTTCTAAACACTCACTCCAACGGTTTCTTGCGGCTCTGGGTCCTGCCCAAACTCGTTATCGCTACCAATCCGACCAATCACAGAGCTTGCGCTATACGTCGTTTCGATGTAGTTAAATTTTTTTGAGAGGTGCGCGTCAGCAACAGCCACGATGAGGGCTATTTGACCGCACGAAGGCTGCGCTGGAGCATACTAGTGCGCTTGATACAGAAGCATAAATCTGTCTTCAGTGTAACTGATTCTGTTGTAGTGAAATTAAAACAACAAATAACTTTCCCCAGCGTTTTCAAAGGATGCAAAATTATGTGGAAACTAGCACTGGTTATCTGAGGTGCTTTTGTTTAATACTTCATTTTGCTAGCCTGACTTGCATAAGTTACATATTTTTATCATTCTTTCCCATTGTATAGCCTCATGATTTCCAGATAGGCGTTATCTTTAAATAATCTTTGAAAAGAGGGCTTAACATCAAGCAGAGATTCTCCACATCAAGTCCTTTGTAGCTTTAAATTGCACAAGTCATTTATATTTCACTGGATTGTGAAAAGCTATGAGTGTTTTATCCCTTATAAGCTGTGAAAAACCCATTCTGAAAGTGATCACAACAATATAGATTCTGTAAATCAGGGGCGCCCAATCCTATTCCTGGAGATCTACCTTCCTGCAGTTCAGCTGCAACCTTAATCAAATACACCTGTCTTTATTTACCAAGGAATTGATCAGATCCTACTTAGCTGGTTTATTTGTGTTTGGTCAGGGTTGGAGCTGAACTCTGCAGGAAAGTAGATCTCCAGGAACAGGGTCGAGCAGCCCTGCTCTACATCTTTATCGTTATGGTTGTGGTCTGACCTCTGCTGTTGTTTTAAAATTAGAATGATTTTTAGAACTCTTTTCATTGTTATCTATATACACAGTAGTTATTGTGCTTGGTCTGAATAGGCTTTAAGTGTATGTAATGATGCTGTATTTGTATTAATATCACCTTATTCTCTTATTCTTTCAGAGATGTGAACGTCAGCTCTGTGTAAGGCCGCTGATTGATAATTGCACTCCATGAGTCCCGTCCAGCTGAGCCTCAGAGGGTCAGGCTGGTCTGGAGCGTCAGGGAAAGCACACAGTGCCGCACGGCCTCTTGCAGACTATAGACAGTTGGAAGACACAAGCTAACGGAAAACGCTTCAGAGAAAACGGTAGATTCCCTCAGTGTGCTTGTTCTTTGTTTTGTCAGTTCGGTGACAATACTGTCATCAGGATTTGTTTTTCATAACGTCAATATGTTAAATAATTTTGTTTGTCTTTTAAATGTGGAGCGACTTTATTTATTCATGTGGCTTCTCCGCATTTAAACCGTGCACTTTTTTTGGGCTGCAAAAATTCCAGTGCAGGGGTTCACGTAACATTCAGCTTCAGCATTTAGTAGAATGATCTGCTTGGTTATTGAGCAAAAGTTTCACGTATCTTCATAGGACAGTCACAGACATCCTAATTAAAACCCTGTGTCTGAACTGTGAGTGGAGCTCAGGAATGTGTCCCAAATGGGAATCTGTCCTAGAAATATGAGGTTTGACGAGCTGCTGCTGCAACTCTCCCATTCTGATGTGCTTTTAATGTGACCTCAGGAGATTTTTTCTGCTTCTGAAAGCTTCTGTTTCTCTACTTCTAAGGAATAAACATCATTAGTGTATAGTCTTTAACTCTATATCCCCTGTGCAACCACTCAAGCATTCCGACTGTGTGACGCTTGTAGATAGCAGACGTTTCATTAAAAATAACAGACGTTTACCAGACTGATTGTAGTTCAAGTTGCGCGAACATGTTCATTCTGCCTTCAGCTCTGAAATTGAAGGATGACGGAGTTTAATGCAGACTCAAATGTTTTCTGTGTTCCCCGTTTTGTTAATATCCTGTTCTACCTGTACATAAGTATGACTAGTTATCAAATACCTAATTTAAATGCATCCTCAGTAGCTTCAGCTGTCTGCATGGATCTTTGCGCAGCATAATATAACACTGTAACTCATACTTGCACACTTTTTCGCATGTTTTCGCTGTGGGTTTGAAGAAACTTGAATGATTTGACGTTCTCAAATACCCAAAGTCGTCCCCTCAGGGTTATACTGTACTTATGTTTTTCCTCATATTACTGTCCATGGCCTAATAACCACACTAAAATTTGAGCGCTCTATGAAAATGCAGATATATAAACTCTAAGTGTTATGTAAATCAGTATTAGGCTGTTTGGCCATTCTTGTGGTTGGGAATAAGAGCTAGAAGCAGGTTGTTGTGCTGCAGATTTGTACTGTAATATGACTGTACGCAACAGGACCCAGCACCAGCACGCGTATCTCTTTTTAAACAGTGATGCGAGTCAGAGGGGGGAATGAATGTGAATGAGGGTGCAAGCCATGTCAAGAGGGCTTTTTGATTATGAAGCTGCGGTGAGGGTGAACAGGGATGTTTTGCAGATTTGTGATTGACGTGATTTATGCAATAGATTTGGACCATTGAGCATTCGACGGTTGCATTGAATGATCGGTCTCCATATGCTTGAAGAGTCGGCTTTGTGTGCTGCAGTTCAAATATTATTCGCAGACTATTTTTACTTGGCCATGTTTGTGGTCACATTTCCTTCTTTGTATCATTCCATCCGCATTTAGGAATACAGTAGATCCCTTAATGTGTATTTAACGTTCCTTCTGTTGTTTTATATGCATCTCCTTGTGTGTTGTTTTTTTTAATCTTTTGTTGTGTAATAGTCTCTTTCGGACTCAGGCTCTTAGACATCAGTGGAAAAGTGTTTGCTGAGTGATTTGGAGATCACTGTGATCCTTCGGTTTGGCCTTTTCGTATGTACTCTTAACACTCTAAATCTCCCAGATGGCTTCCGGTTGTGGTGTAGCTGCTGCAGACTCGATCATCGAAGCTTGTGCTAGTTGCGTTTGCTTTTTTAATATACACTAGCACAGCCACTTTCAGAGCTGTTCACTCTAATGCCGATGTTTAAGAGCCCCACGTGCTGTGAGCATCACAACTAAAACTGTTCTTTAAGGTCAAGTACTCGATACAGGGGTAGAATAGGACGGTGCCTTAGATGCAGAATGGGCTGTGTTTTATTTTTCGTAAATATTAATACCTTAACGTGTCGCGTGAGCTTACCTCGGCCATGACAATCACTCTACTCGACCAGGGTCATGAATAGGATCTGCTTTTGTTAGAGCGGTTTCTTGTCTTGAAATAGCCCTGACCACAGAATTATATTTGTAAATATATCTAAAGTGTACTGGGAAAATATCAATTGTTAAAATAAAGTTTTGGAAGATAAAAGGAAATGCAAATCGTGTTGTTGTTTCATGCTCGGTTGTTTGAGTTTATTGTGTTTTGTGTGTGTGTATGATGTGTAATGTGTTTTGTGAGTTGTTGTTAGTTGATTGAATTATTCAAAAACAATCAAACAATGTTTTTTTCCCCACAAAGCAACATGAAATCATTTCAAACCCTTACATTTGTTACATTTTACATACTCTGTAACATCACACAGGTTCGCCATAGCTTTGCACTAACTGAAGCCTTAAATCTTGCGATTTCATATGATTTGCATAATAAAAGCCCTGCATATAGCACTCCGAGCACTCTATAAAAATAATCTTCCAGTGATTAATGAACACACACCCTCACTGGATTCTCTCTAGTTGGACACTCAAAGCTTCGCTAGTTTTTCGATCAATCTTAATTGCTTCTGTTAATCAACCTTATCGCATCCCATCAGGCCTCACAGCTTCTTGGCGCAGTCAGAGCAGTAGATGTCCTCTCCGTTGATGACGAAGCGCTTGTGGGCCATGGAGAGGGAGCATTTCTTGCAGTTAAAGCAGTATTCATGCCAGGATTTGTCCTCGTAGTTCACCACATTGGTCCCTCTGCCAAATCCTGGAACACAAACGGAATATGGATTTTATTTCCCATTATAAATGCAATTATCAGTTTCAGAATTAGTCTGATGGCTCACTTCAACAAATGCTTATTCTAGGAGAATGTAGATTTAACTGAGCATAATGGCTCATCTTTACCAAGATCTTTTAACACAGGGGATCCGCGGGGTCTTAAAAAGTCTTAAAATGTCTTAAATCTCAAAAACTACATTTTAGTCCCTAAAAAGTCTTAAATGTACTGAAATGTTGTGTTGTAGGTCTTAAATCTTTTATTTTTAGTCTTAATTCGGTCTTAATTTTCCTTTGTTCATGTAAAGCTGCCCAATCTGGCCATTAACGTTACCATTAACTTTTATCTTTCTATTTTAAAAAAGCATTTAATTTCTTTCCTTATTGTAACATTTGCTTAAGAGTTCTGCATTTATTTACTACGGAGGATACTAACCTGACTCATATATTTTTTATTAATTATTATTATTATTGTAGACTCAAATAATCTACAGCTATGTTTTGTTCTATTCTTGATAGGGGTTATAGGGTTTGAGAATGAATATAATTGATGAAAATTAATCAAAAAATATTTAAACATGATTATTATTATTGTATCATTTAATGTATTCAATTGTAATAATTTTTGATAGGTCTAGTGAAAATATTTTCTAACTGGGATATTTGAAAAAAAAATTGTTAGCATTTAGCCCTGTAAAAGTCTTACAGTTCATTCATAATAGTCTTAAAAATGTCTTAAAGTCTTAAATGTAACTTGGTGAAAAATGCAGAAACCCTGTTACATAACTAGTTCCACAGAAGGGAAGCTGCACAGATTTGTTTACCTGTAATGGGATTTTGACATCCAGAGCACTTCTTGGCCACATCGCTCTTATAACAGTCCACACAGTAGAACTGATCCTCATGGGCTGTGAAGCGAGCTCCAGCCAGAGGCTTCTTGCACGTGTGACACACAAAGCACTCGGAGTGCCAGGGCTGGTCCTGATAGGTGAGTCCACCGCTGGTAATGGCCTGATAATCAGGATACATTAGAACAGAACATGTCAGATAGGACCCATTAGTTCTGATCAACTAATTGAATTGTTCAAGAGCGTTGACACTGTCCATTTAGTGTTGGACATTTTTAGTGCCTCTTTCTACAGGTTAAATCACTATTCCAGATGACAGCAAATGACTTTTTAGGGTAAGTAACCATGTTATGTTTCTCTCACTGATAATTTTTTTACAGGGCAAATGTAGTCTTTATATTCACCAAAGTATTATGTTCATTCTTTACTTTTCCTTTGGCTTAGTCCCGTATTTACTAGGGGTCACCACAGCAGAATGAACCGCTAACTAATCTGCATGTTTTACACAATGGATTCCCTTACAGCTGCAACCCAGTACTGAGAAAAAGTATTATCCTCTAGTTCTTAAATAATTTAGCAATGGCCTGTACCGTTTAGTACTGTACTAGTCTTAAAATGTTAGCCAAATTTATTTATAACTACTTGAACCATTTTCATATTGTTACCAATGGGTTGATTTGGCTAACTTTAATCCAAAAATGGGACTGATTACATTTAGTTTGACAGTAACATAGTAACTAACATAGTTGGCTGGGTTTATGCAAGAGACCACTGATCCTAATTTTCCTGTTTGATGCTACATCTAATAGGTTTTTTCACAAGGCTTCATCAGTCTTCCATGTTGGAGAGGAGAATGTAAGTGATGAATGAAGCCTGCACATTTTGCTTATTCTGTTCAAAATGATCAATTATTTCCATGTTTTGGCCTGTACCAATTAATTGGACAAATAGAGAACTAAACAGCCTATTAAATTGAGTTTGAAATATGTTACACCTTTCCCTCCTTATCAAGTCAGTTCATATATGATTTATCAGCTTTCACACTGTTTTTCATGGTTTACAAAGCATAAACAAGCAAAACAATGTATTCAGCAGTAGAATACCCTGCAATCCATGCCATTGTTGACATCGCCATAAGGGCTACACATATGGGTCACTGGCCAAATCAAGACCCTAAAACTCAACATTTGAAGTGGATCAGAGAAGAATGGATGTTGTTCAATAGTTTTTGATCAAAGGTTTTGAACCCCTTCAAATGTTGACTACTGTGTACTCCATGAAATCCTCTAACAGCATTTAATTTTGTGGTGTTTAGTCCGAATATGTGCTGTATTTTGACTACAAATGAGACCAACATTGGTATACAGGTCATGCATTCATTCATAATGGTCTTCAGTTTGATTTAGTGAAATCTGCAGAGAGCCTGTATTAACAGTAGATTCCTCTTATCCTTAACTGACCTCTTTGCAGCGAACGCAGTGCTTGGCAAACTTCTTCTCGTGGCAGGGAGTGCAGTACATGTCATCACCCTTGGTCAGGAAGCTCTGGGTGCGGATAGGCTGCTTGCACTCAAAGCAGGTGAAGCACTCTTCATGCCAGACTTTATGCTTGTACTCCACATTCTTACATCCTAAAGAGAAACAAACGCTTGGCTGTTATTTACAACACCCTGCATGTGTTCGAGATACTTTGTGTCAAAAAAACAAACAAACATTTGTCTCACACACACACACACACACACCTGGAGTGATGACTTTGTAGCAGCCCTGGCAGCGAGGCGATCCGTCACGATCTCCACACTTCCCACACATGATTTTGCCATCGTCCTTGGCTTGAAAGGGCTCGTTGGCCAACGGCTTGTAGCACTTGGCGCAGCGGAAGCAGCCCTCGTGCCAGTGGCGATTCTTATGGTTCAGTTCCTGGGTAGAGACCATTTTTAGGTCAAGATTTTATGTCAGAATATTACTATAAACTATACAGAGGGCTGCTGATCGAATGTACTAATGTTGTACGTAATGGCTGATTTCTTTCAGACTAATGTGACATTCAGATGCTAACTACTGTGTTTTTATTTCTCTTACGGATTCAAAAAGTTTCACACATTTCAAGAAATGTCTGTGTGTGTATGGAAACTGCAAATTTCAGTTAAATCAATGTAATGTGTATGGCACACATATTTGTGTCACTGTAAACAAACACAGAAGAATGCAGTGATGAGCCTTTATGTCCAGATGTGCTGAGTACAGACGTAAACAGAACAGAGATGGATTTTGGAAATGGACCAGCTTTACCAGGTTTTGTTGTAATAGTGCTAATAAAGTTAACAGCGCCTGCTGCACTAACACTGTTCTATTAAGCTGTGTGCAGGGTTCTTCCTCTTAGTCGCATGGTACTGTAACTATCATTTCCAAAATATATATGGTTATTTTTCCACTCTATAATTTTGTTTCAGGGCACTTACAATGCTGGTGTCATGTGGACAGAGAGCCAAAACACTATATAGATCTTGCAGACTGACCTAAATCCATGACAGTAATAGTAAGAGTGCTGTTTCATTTATGAGCCACTGATAATAATTTTGTTGCCTGTTTTACACTCAAAATGTCTTTGATTTAGCTAAGCAAGGCAAGGCAAACTTTATTAATAGAGCACAGATTTACTCAACTGTAATTGATCCACGGTGCTTTACAACAATGAATGAATGAAATATGAAAAAATAAAGCTCTATTAAAAATATAAGAAATGGAAACTGTATATAACTGAAATACAGACATGAAATAACATGCAAGCATCACTCAAAGGCAGTGAGTAAAAATAAGTCTTTAAATTAGATTTAAAAGCATCCAATGATGGAGAAATCCTAATGTTTCGAGGGAGACTGATCCAGAGCCTTGGGGCCGCAACACAGAAAGCTTGATCACCTTTTGATTTGCAGCAAGACAGAGGGACGGACGAAAGAAACTGCTCATTGGACCTTAATGGTCTACAAACTATAAGGCCAGATAAGTTCACAGATATAGACCGGGGCAGAATTGTGCTTTATATGACAAGAGAAGGATCTTAAGATCTATTTAGCTATGTTATGAACCGCCAAGAACTGCACCAATTATAAACAATCCTTAAAGTTTTATTTAAAAAAAAAAAAAAAAGAATCACCCACAGAGTACATCTTGACAGGCCTGACAGCACATTTTCATTTGTGAGTGAACTATCCCTTAAAAATCCCAGTGTACCTGTACAGTTACATTTAACCTGTCAAAATATTTCAATGTGGTGATGTCATTGGCCTATGCACATTTCCTGCTTGTTGTCGATCTATTTCATAACTGTAACAAAAGGAAATTCAATTATATCTTCATGTTGAAACAGCCATCATAACATTTTTTATCAATATGTGACTCTTTCTGGATTCACGGAAGCTATAGAAATTAAAAATGTAAAAGAGGAAACACATTATTGTTATTGTTTACATCCCTCAAATGGTCTATAACCGAGTTCAGGTTGCTGTGGCAGTCAGAATCACACATTTGCTGTAATTGCAGGATTATTGTTGTTTGACTCGTACCTTTGCATCAGCGCCGATGGGTTTGCGGCATTCAGCACAAGTGTTTGCGCAGAGCTTGTCGAAGCAGCGCACGCACACAGGCTTGTCATCTTTCTTGACGTACTTCTTGCCCTGCAGGTTGTCTCTGCAGTAGAAGCAGTCAAAGCGCTCAGTCATGGTGGAGCTCAGATAACTGCGGGGACCTGCAGACACAAAAACAAGGGCTAATTTCACAAAGACCTCTGACAAAGGAAGATATTATTATTGAGCCAATAAACAAGACAGAATGATTAATTTGTGCTTTTTCATGTAGTGCTATATGTTGATGATGTTTCTCTTCAGTAAGAAACTTTTTTATTTTAACTTTTCTTTCACTTTAAAAAAATACAGTTTTTATAAAACAGAAATAGTTATTTGAAAACAAAATGATTAGATTTTTTATGAATGTAAAAGGTCTAAAAAGTTGTAAATGTGTAATATTTATACTCTAAATAACTATAAGGAGATCTAATTACATTTTGCAATGTCATGTTTGTAATTGCTGGGGATTGGAAGCCTTTGGGTAGATCTGGTAATGTTTGTTTAATTTCCAGCACACGCTGTAAGCTGTAGATCAGGGATGCCCAAACTCAGTCCCGGAGGGCCGGTGTCCTGCAAAATTTAGTTCCAACCCCAATCAGATACATCTGGGCTAGCTAATCAAGCTCTTACTAGGCTTTCTAGAAACATCCTTGCAGGTGTGTTGAGGCAAGTTAAGCTAAAATCTGCAGGACAACGGCTCTTCAGGACCAAGTTTGGACACCCCTGCTGTAAGCTGTAGATCAAGGGTGTCCAAACTCTGTCCTGAAGGGCCGGTGCAAAGTTTAGTTCCAAATCAAATCACACACCTGGGCTAATTAAGCTCTTACTAGGCTTTCTTAAAACCTCCTTGCAGGTGTGTTAAAGCAAGTTGGAGCTCAAATCTTCAGAACACTGGTCCTGGAGGGCCCCTACTCTGCACAGTTTAGTGTCAACTCTAATTAAACACACCTGATCAAACTAATTGAGTCATTCAGGCTTGTTTGAAACCTACAGGTGAAGCTGCAGTCACACTGGGCTTTTCCTCCCATAGACTTACATTCATACGCACACGAATGCGTCAGACCGGAAACGCAGGGTCATGTGTTAAGTTTCACAGTTCGCTGCGGTGCAAAGCTTAAGCATGGTGAACTCTGACCTGCGAAATCGCATCACTTGACTGCGTGAGACCAATCAAAGATCAAAACATGACCTCTCTGGACAGATTTAAAACATGGAGCAATCGCTTGATTTTTTTAATGTCTAATAATCTTGTTTAATCCCGCCCCTTTTCACAGCGCCGTACTACAGAATTTCGCACACACAAACTCTAGTGTGATTGCAGCTCTTGTGTGTTAAAGCAGGATTGGAACTAAACGGTGCAGAGCTGCAGCCCTCCAGGGACTGGCTTTGAGCTGTTAAACAATTACAGCGAATTGGGCCATGTGACCAATCAGAGCAAAGTATGCTTTCAGAAAGGAGGACTTTAGAAAGCTGGATTCATCAAGGAATGCTTTGAGAAATGAGGTCATTTAAAATGTGAGTTATAAGAAAATAAAACAGTGTGTGTTGTATAAAACTTTTCAAATGTAAGATGTTGTATGTGTGCCAGGTTTACCATTTCATCAACACTAAAATAAAAAAAACTAAATCCAATTTATTTGAAAGACCATCTGAAATACATTTTTATCAGTTATATACAGAGGATGTTCTGGGGTGACACCGTGGCTTAGTGGTTAGCACTGTCACCTCACAGGAAGAAGATCACTCGTTCGAGTCCCAGCTGGGTCAGTTGTCATTTCTGTGTGGAGTTTGCTGTGTGTTTTTCCTGTGTTGGGTTTCCTCCGAGTGCTCCGGTTTCCCCCACAGTCCAAAGACTTGCGCTATAGATGAATTGGGCAAGCTAAATTGGTCGAAGTGTATGAGGGGGTATGGATGTTTCCCAATACTGGGTTGCAGCTGGAAGGGCATCCACTGTGTAAAACATGCTGGATAAGTTGGTGGTTTATTCGGCTGTGGTGACCCCTGATGATTAAAGGGACTAAGCTGAAGGAAAATGAATGAATGAACAGGATGTTCTACCTAGTCTGTAATACTGTGATTCCACTACAATATAATAAAGTCACCACAAGGGGTCAGTATAACGTAATAATAATTAGTCTACTAAAAAGTCAAATTTTTTTTGTAGGAATTCAGCATAGTTCACCAAAAAAAAAAGTTTTCTCACAGGTGGTTCTTACCTTTTATGCTAGCACAAAATCAGCCATTGACATCCATAGTAGCAACAGACAATACTATTGCAATCAAGGGGCTTCCTGTGTATCCTTATGTTCAACAGAAGAAACTTAAACTGGTTTGGAACAAGGAGAGGATAAGTACTTTTTAGTAGAATTTTAATTTTTTGGTGAACTATCCCTTTAAGACGCGGCGAAGCATCTAAATTGTCAAAGTAATTGGCATTTTCTGTTTCAATTACAGACTGTTTAAGGTGGATGGAGATACTCTTGGAATAATGAAAAGGTCACGTGTGGTACCATAGAAAGTGTTGCACTTAGCATTTCATTAGCATGTGTATAGTTCTGACTCACTGATATTATTTACTTGAAGCAGCGTCTCCTGGGCTGTCAGATATTAGGACGGTAAATGTTTTGTCTACACCTCAGGATCTGTTGTAAACACAGCTTAGCAACCACATGCCAAACAACTTAGCAAAGCTGCTTGAAAATACAGAGGCCACAGATGTGACCACAAACACTTCATCCCTGATAGCGCCAGCACCGCATTTTCTGGCTGTTGATAAGTGAAAATGTATTTTTAGAAGTACAGGCTCATTCTTCCCAGTTCAATGCGTCTCTCTGCAAACATCCTATTGTTTGCCCTTTAGGAAATATAGCCGTGATTGTGGCTACGTTTATTAAATTTGACACATTTTATTAAGGCAGCAATGTCCTTGTTGTTTAACACAAAACCGATCAGAATAATTAGACGTATAGTTTTACTTTTAAAGCAAAAAATATGATCTGTGGTGATTTCATAAACCTTTGACAGTCATCATCTCATAATAATACTTTTGTATAGAGATTGCAGCATCTAGGAATAGCACAAATAAACATCACTGATGATATGAACACACATGCTCCCTCTCCATCATAAACATACAGCCTCATCCTATTTGAGTTCGGCTTCTCCGTATGTTATTATGCGTTAAGACGCTCCAGACTGTCCTACTCAAGAGTATTTGAGTCTTTATGAAAGATATATCGAAACTAGAGTTCAGTTTCACATCACTTTACCTCAATGTATGATCATCAATCACAGGTATTTGTTTCCTCTTACCTGCATGTGATTTTATTTACTCTTTTAAAGTGCTGGTAGCCATTGACTTGCATTATATGAATCACATTTTCAGCTAAAACTTTCCTCTAATGTTCTTTCATGCTGACGATCTTAGATGGAGTAAACATTTATATGCATAGTTCCTTTATATTTAATAATTTGTTCATTATCCTTCACCTTAGTCCCTTTATTCATCAGGAGTCGCCACAGCGGAATCTACCTCCATCTTATCCAGCATATGTTTTACACAGTGGATGGCCTTCCAGCTGCAATCCAGTACTGGGAAACACTCATACACACTCATTTAAACACATACAAATTTTGTTTATTAAATTCACCTATACCTCATGACCTGAAGGAAACCCAAGCGAACATGGAGAGAACTTGCAATCTCCACACAAAGATGCCAACTGACCCAGCTGGGACTTGAACCAGCGACCTTTTTGCTGTGAGGTGGCAGTGCTACCCACTTGGCCACCGTGTTGTCCACTGCTATACCTGCTACACTATACCAAATATGTCTGAGCTCAGTTCGTTTTTTTTAGCTGAATTCTCCTCTATACAGGAGCGGTGTTGTGGCTTCTGTAAACTAAATAATCATCCTGACCTGACCAGCATGCTCAATCCCCTAAGCCTTTTGGGAGAGCGTCCATCAGCTGTTCATTTTTAGCCAGCTCTGTCAGTGTTATCAAACGGACCTCTTTGTCCCAAAGCGAAGAGCAAATGCTGTTTTGAAAGGTCACCGCGAGATCAAATTCAGCCATACGGAGAACAGAAACCGAAGAGAGCATGTCCACGTTAAAGCAAACATTGATTGAGATGGCTATATTTGACAGTAGCAAATGCAGGCCAAATAAGAGGGGAAATGATGCAGAATTAAGGAATTAGCTCAATTGATATTTGGACAAGATTACACATGGGACAATAACCAGTTTTAAGGTTTACCGTGGTTTGGACGTCATTTTTAAAACTGCTAAAATTTTCTGTTGTACCATTCCAACAGTATCAACACAATCTTGTGGCAATTCATAACTTTTTTTTATTTAGTGGCTAATTCGTATGAATTTGTACATCTCATTCGTACAAATTAGTATGATTTGCTCATCTCCCAATGACGGTTGGGTTTAGGGGTGCGGCGGGGGTGGGGGTGGCTTGGGTGCCATGCCTCCTTTTTAAAATTGTACATTTTCATTCGACTGAAGTTGTACAATTTCAAACAAATTAGCCACTAAACTGACAAAACGTAAAATAGTTACATTTTGTCGTGAGATCAGGCTGGCAGTAAATGTACGTTGTTTTGTGTGTGTGTGTGTGTGTGTGTTTTACGACTATTAGTTTTTTTAGTGCAACAGTATTTCCAGCAGAAAAGAACCCTCCACATCAAAAGCTGGTCAGCACGCGATTCAGGAAAAATTTTAAAGCAAATCTCTCGTACACCTACAGCCAAGCATGCTATAGACCTGAACAGTGCAGTGGCTTAATTTATATGCAAAGAAAAGAAAGATTTCCAGGGACGCCTTTTCAAGTTGTAAAGAAATCTGGTTTTGAAACTAATGAAGACAGCAGAAGCCAACGATTTATTGCAGTTATTCAGCCTGAAATGTTTACTGTTCCAAAATATTATAAATGTTTCTTCAAATAAAATATATATTGTGTTTAGAGGGGGTTGTTGTTTTTCCCCCCTGACATTTAAAAAAAGAACATGTTTTGGAGCAGTAATCAAAATACTATGATATTTTTTATCTATCATACCATCAAAATCTTCTACCAGCCCATGCCTGACAAGATTGAGATCACATACAAATATACCCAAACTCAGCATTATAGTGACTATACAGACAAAGATGTGCTTGCCTGCCTGTGATTAACATAGCATCTACTTTATTATCTATTTTGCACAAGCTCTCAAATAAGATTGGTATTCATCTATACTGGAATTACAATGCCTAATCCTCTCAAAAATAAAATAAAACAATGACACCTCTTTTATAAAGTACAATTTGCATCAGGGTATATTAGAAAGCCCTTTCTGTTAACTAAATCCTAACATATACTTACACTGGCTGCATTTATTTGTTAAAAACAGAAATTCTGATACAGTTTTTAAATCTTATATTTTTTTGGAATATTTTATAGATATAAAAATGTCATTTATTTCCAAAGCTGATTCTTTAAGCAGCCTTCTGACATGTTGATTTTGTGCATTTCTCAATAATATACAAATAAAAATGGTTTTACTTTTTACTATTTTCATGAAAAACTAAATTTATCGTTTAGTTGAGACAGAAATGTGATTACAAATACCTTTACTGCCTCTTTTGACAAATGCTATGCTTTACAGCTAAATAATAGAAATTATTTTAGAACAATCCTACTGATCAGTCTTTGGATCTCAGCTAAACCAAATACAATATGCCTGATTAAAAAACAAATGCAAGTGCCAAGAGAATCCACTGGCTGATCCATCAATCGTCACGCTGTGCATCTTTACCTGAGTGCCTGTAGTAGCTCATGTCTGCTATCTGGAAAAACAGAAAGCCTTGCAGAAGTGAAAGAGATGGAAGGATGGATTGATACAGGATACCAAGTATAGCCAAAGAGTTACAGGAGAACTCCACTCTTCTTTTGAAAGTATTTGTCATATATACAGTACTTCCCCAGCTGCCTTTTAAAACCTGCCCCCCAGTTGCCTACCACACCCATCATGGCCTGTCCTCACAAACCCAGTAATCCCACCCAAAGCATCAGCTGCCCACTCCATGTTAGGCTGTGCTGCAAAAGATAAGTGAAGGGGAGGGAGCCGGAGAGAACTAAATTCATCTGAATTCTTGGCTTGTGACATCAGAGAGCAGAATAAAGGAATCTGATCTTCATATTGGAGAAGCTTGTGTTCATTCTGCAATGGATTAGTAAAAGTACATGGCACCACACCTAGAACAACTTTGTTTATCAGTCCTTACTTTGCCAAGTAAACTTTGTGTTGCTATTGGCTTGTCTGATTAAACAATCATTGCAATAAAAATTAGAAAGCAGAGAAAAGAAGACAGTAAAAGCTTCTTAAATTGCTTCTCTGAGGGCTTTTTGGAGGACACTAAAGTGCAACTGTCCTCAGATGCCTTTGATACTCAGTTTGACTCTATAAAACAGCCGTTTCTCCATCTACGCCAAACCATGTTTATAATACAACAGAGTGTGGAGCTTTTCTTATTTCTCAACTTATTCCTAAAGATTGTGATGTATGAGGAAAACTATGCTTGATTTGGAACCAGCTGTAGGATTCTTGTAGTGGCTCATGAATTTGAATGACTAAATCAAAACATACGAATGACTAGAGATAATTAATTATGCAGAGCTGAGTGAAATCTATAAATGATTTCCATGAAAGGACTCGAGTCTGAACTCAAACACTGCAGGACTTTTGAATGTCTACAATATACAAGTGAATGTATAGTAACTTTGCAACTGCAAATTAAAAAACAGTTAATCAGAGTATATTCCAGTAAGTTGTAACCCAATGTTGGGTCAAATATGGACAAACCCAACATTGGATTATTATTTTTAATTAAATTTAAATTACACTTTTTATTCCAATGGTTGAATTTGACCCAACATCGACAATAAATCCAGGTGTAAATGAGATCTAAATGTTTTAAACTTGTATACTTTGGCCATGATAGTCCTGTTTCCTCCTGGTATTGAGATGCAATTTTCTTAATCGGATCACAAGTATTTATTTTGTGCAGTCTACAGTACATATGAATGTTAATGGAAATGACTCAGAGAACAGATCTGTTTTTTCTGATAGCAATAGAATCTGTTAAAACGCCTGTTGAAAACTGTTGGTTTGAGTTGGAATCAGTACTGGCAAGCGAACAATGACAGGGTTCCCACAGATCATGCTTTTCAAAAGGTCTATTCCGGTCATTACAATTGATTTTTTTGTACAAATCATGGAATATCAGGCATTTCGGATTCTTTAGTTTTCATGTATCAAAATTATTATGTTTTTTTGATCCACTTGTTAAGTGTGACCACGTGAAGCGGCTGCCTCCAGGCGCTCTATAAAACTGTATAGGGAGACTCAACAAATGGTAATAATAAACGTTTACAAAGCGATGTAATACTTAAAAAATAATGATAATAAGGATCAGAATATATATGCTTAATATACAAACTCCAGAAAGAAATACGTTTCTTTAAAAATTGTTAAAATGTGGATGTCTGTGATGCAGCAAGTCCAGAGACTGTTGTGTACACCATGATTTGATTTCAAATTCACTTTAATGTGTGATACGACTGAAGAGTGATCATAAACAAACATTTTCTAAATTTGAATGAGTAGCAGCTTGGACCCAGTATTTCATATGTCACCGATACGTCATGACTTAACAAGCGGATACTGTGTCATGTTTTTTCATTACATTGTTAGGCTATTTTTTAGTGCCATTTTATTTCCTTCCCACTTATCATCTGCAAGTCACTACTGGCTCCACTTAATGGATAAAAACATGTATACGTGTATTATTACAATTTTATTACACTTATTTTTGATCTTTTTTGTAATATATTTAAACATCCCTGGAAAATGTACATTTTGAAATGCTTTGGCTACAAAATGGCCACTGGGTGCACAAAATTAGACTGGGCGCTTTCCTTTCTTTCTTTTTTTGTTTTCTTAATTTCTTTTCCAAATTTAAGGTGAATTGCCCATTGTTACTCTCATAATGACTATTAAATTAATGCAAATATATTCAAGCACAAACAGTATAAAGGCAAAGCACAAGAGCTCCTTGTTTCTCAGTTTATTATAGGCCAAGGAAATTCAGCTTTTTGCCAGTGAAAGTCAAGGAAACTTTTGGGAATTCGACATTTGGCTAAGAGTGATATTTTTTAAGAAGAATTTTTCAAACCAAACTAAACTATTTCATCAACAGTTTAATTCCCGTCTGCCCAGTGGTTATGTGAAGAAAAGGTTGCTATTGTTTGTCTGGATGAAATATCTATAAAATGACTCACTGGTGGTCAGTCTGAGTCATGATGGACAATGGAAACAGACCCACCTGTCCTCTACTAAGACTCTGAGGCCTGAAATAGCCCTGCCCAGAGCACCTGGCATCATCCACTAAAACAAACCCCTCTCATCTCTTATCTAAACACTGCTAGACAGCAAATCACAGCTGCAGCTTGCTGCATGAATCTGCAGACCACCGAACAGAAGAAACTACTTGTGAAGAGGATTCGAATCTAGATGAAGAAGGTATTAAAGTGTGAGCAATCCACCCAAGAATGGCTCATTGTTGGAGTAACATTTGAGGTAGACTCTTGGCCATCTGGATTTAACCAACTAATAATATGATGAATTCACTGAGGAATGTGAGGTAAGAAAGAATAAAGACTGGGAAACAACACCACTTTTGCAGCTCATAAAAGTGATTAACTCCCACCAGAGATTTTGCTCAAGTTCTACTTTATTTGCTCAGTAACCTTTTAAAATTAGTCCATTAATAATGAACTCCCCAAAATAGGAATCTCCACTTTCAGATTTTCCAGGAATGTTTCTTGAAAGTCTCTCAATTACAAAGATAAATCCACTCAATTTATCAGAATACTATAACTAGACGAGTGACTCATCTGATAAGAGCGCACACAGTTAGAAGACATGACAACATGTGTGCGGTCAGCCATGTGAAGGTCAGCATACTGGCGCTTTCCATCACATTGACCACGAACATGTTAACTCAGTAGAGCTCATTTGAAGTCAACATTTTGCATCAATGCTTCTTAAATGTATGGCAAATCTTCGGCTGTTGTGGGCCAGATTAACTGTACAAATGAAGTTTTGAAGCTAACATCCTTTTTCAGATCACATCCTCAATACTTTTTTTTACTTCACACTACAGTTTTTTTGCACTTCCCTTTCAGCACTTTTACAGGACTCCTCAATATGAAGAACGAGTATATTGTTGTTATCTTGTTTATTTGATAGCCTTAACCGTCCTATTTTCTAAAACGTATCAAATAAAAGCATAGTTTAAATGAATAAAAGAGGTGTATTCCAGAAATCAAGATTAACTTACCATCTGCTAAACCCTGAACTCTCTGTTAATTAACTTAATCAACAGAACGCCAAAACCATGAGTTGTCATGGAAACAGTCATTTAATAGAAAGTGTCTTGCTACAAAAAAATTAATGCTGATCCAACAAATATCCACAAATTTTGCTAAATAAATAACATTATAAATAAACTTACATGAATAATAATAGGTGTGTTTTACTCATTTTTACTCAAATAAAAGATATTCATTTTTAAAATATAGTAAGAAACACAAATATATAGCCTAGAAATAAACTAAACCTGAAACATAACCTGCTATATGGCTATACTTGCCCAGAAATTTAACTCTGTTTTTACATACCCTTAAACATACCCAGGTATATAACATAACCTGATTTCTGGAAGCATGACAAATAAAAAATGATATATTTAACCAAACTATTGAATTAATTAACATGAATTATATCTGAAGATAAATGTGAATGCACATTTAGAAATTCATGAACTTTGTTTTTTATTTTATTGTGCTTTTGCATGTTGTTGCCATAGAAAACAACATATGGTGATGATGCTGATAGTTTAATAGCTAATAAAATAAAGCCTTAAAGTGATAGATCACCCAAAATTAACATTTCTCTCACCTTTACACTCAAGTTGTCCTAAACTTTTATATTTTATTTCTTTTATTGAACTGAATAATGTTGAATAAAGCAGCCATTGACACTCATGGTTGGAACAGAAAATACTATGGAAGTCAATGGCTGTTTTTCCAATATTGTTCAGTACATCTTCCTTTTTGTTCAACAGAACAAAAATGGGATTTGAAGAAGTAGAGAAGACTGAGTAAACGATGACAGAATTTAATTATTTGTCAGGTAAACTATCCCTTTAAATTATAAACAGACTGTATTTAAAGTTTCTAACAGTTGTAGCAGATTACATACACAAAATCCACATAAATCTTAAGGTCACATTTTATCTCCCAATAAGATGTTGTTTTAGGGTAATAAAATCAAATGCTTATGCTATTTGTATGTAAAAAAATAAAATAAAAGTGCTTTGGTTTAATTATCAGATAATTAATTTAAAAGTTATTCTCATAAATCAGCCTAGAGACATGGCCTTTTACTGTCAATCAATGAACTATCATTCAGAAGAAGACATGTAGATTTTGTGCCACTAGTTTTCTGATCACAATTCAGAATTTAGATACTTTGAAGGTTTGAAGTCAAATATGATACAGTAGGCTTAGTAGAGTTCATTTATGTCCTCGCCCGGTCACAGCTGAAGAGAGCAGAGCAGATATAGGTATAGGAGAGCAGAAGAGCACAGCAGCGGCTCAACTGCGCCTCCAGTGGACAGAATTAAGTCACACAATCTCTCACCACAGCAACACATTTCCTATTTAGGATCTCAGTCCAATGCTATGTACTTTAAAGCTGTCTTTTAGACATTTACACGCCATCTAGTGGATCACAGCACATCTGTTAAAACTGAAGGCTGAAATGCTGCAGTAAGTGATTATATGGTGTGAGAGCTGGAAAAAAATGCTTTGTC